CCTGAAATACCTTCTCTCTAATCCCTTCAATTTTGGCTATTGGTTGAAATTCGTCCAGAAGGTAACTTCTGCAAAGCCTTCCTGGCTCCATAGCTTTTTGGCTTATGCCTATAATCCTGCCACTTTGGGATGCTGAGGCAAGAGGACTGCTTGAGCCCAGGAGTGCAAGACCAACCTCAGCAACACTGTAGAACTTTTCATCTCTACAGAAACAAACAAAGGCATGGTGGCATGTGCTTTGAAGTCCCAGCTAGTAAGGAGGCTGAGGTGGGAGGATTGCTTGATGCTGGGAGGTAGAGACTGCAGTGAGCTGTGGTTACATCACTGCACTCCAGCCTGGCTAACAAAGCAAGATCCTGTCAAAAAATTAAAAAAAAAAAAATCAGGCTAAGTTAACATGTCCATCCCTTCACATACTTATCATTTTTATGGTAAGAACATTTGAAATTTACTCTCTTAGCAATTTTGAAATGTGCAATACATTATTAACTATAGTCCCTATGCTGTACAATAGATCTCAAAAATGTATTCCCTCTAACTGAAATTTTGTACCCATTGACCAACATCATTCCCACCTTGTGCTTTAACAAACAACTAGCATGTTCCTGCGTGCCAGGCACTTTGCTTCTTACTGCTTTGTGTTTATCCTGTATGTCCGCCTTTATAGGACAGTCCAGTCCAGACAGCACCAATAGCCTTTGCCTGAGCTCTGCTCCAGAGCTTCTCCAGTCCCGTGATCAGGCACTCACTGTAACAACTGAACCAATGGAGGTAAATCCTACCCCAACAGGGCATTGGCAGGATTAAAGCAGATAGTGGAGAGCCTCTTGCACAGCACCAAATACGGAGTAGGATCTCCTACACACAGTAGCATTCTTGACTTGAATCGAAACAGAACTCACATAGTACAGCAATAAGAAAAATAAGAGTCTGCAGACATCAATGCTAGTCTCAGGGCTGCCACTAACTAGGTATGTGACTTTGACCATGCCCCTTTACCTCCTGCCGTGATTTCCCTGCGTGTAAAATGAGGCACTATTGTTTAGATTTCTCAAGGGCTTCCAGCTGTAACATTCCACAGTCCTATGCATTGCGGGAACTGCAGGGGCACAGGGGAGGGAGGGTGAACCTCACATGTTCATGTTTTAAAATTTCAAACGGAGGAAGTTGTTGTTTCCTCCTCTTCCCTTCTCGCTAGTGGTAGAAAACAAGCAATGAATATGGAAATCTTAAAAGCCAGAGAAAACAGTGAGTGTTCTCCATTTTGCTGACAAAGTACGCAGAGGCTGCCTCACAAAATCAATGTGCTTATCCCGCTGCTGTGCTGCATGAATTCCTCCTGGCCCGAGCGTGGCTGGACCACTCACAGGACAGCTGTCCTTTGTTCTGTCAGTACAGGGTCCGCTGCTTGTGTGCTGACCAGCGCAGCACTGGGTGACCATTGCACAGTGAAGGTGTGTGCTCCTTCGCCAGGGAGCCCGAACAGACGGAATCCATGCTTAGTGCGGTGACTGGAAGGATGTAGAAACAATGCAGGTGAATTGGGAGGGCGGTTCTGGGAGACAGTGGAAGAGCACAGAAAAACAAAGACAAGGTAGAGCATTCCAGCTACAGGCAGCCAAAGCCTCTCCTGCCAAGGGACAGGTAGCTGGTTTTCAAAATCGTGCAGACTCACTCAGTAACTGCTCTGCACCATCTTGTCTGCCTTTTAAGCACAAGCGAGGATTGCATCTGACTCCCATTACCAGCAAATGTCCCAGGAAGGACCTTAAGTAATAAGAGCCTTTTAAAGCTGATCTTCGCAAGCCTCTTCCCAAGACGGCACTTGGGTGGAGGGGCGGATGTTCAGCGGCTCTGTCAGCTCCGGATGCACAGTTGCCTCTACCCTGCGCAGCTGCCTGTTCTGGGTGCCCCACCGGAAGGTGGCAGCTCTTCCTCAGGCTCATGTGTTGCTTTCAGTCAGGTCTGTGTTATTGCCCCTGCTTGGGAGACAGGTAGACAAGCTCTCTGGTCTTTATCAGAGGTTGTCAGCATGGGGCCTCAAATTCACTCATTTCCTTTTTGTTTTTCAATTTGCCATGTTTCACACATATCCAACTCAATCGTTTTTCTTTAACTTCACTCTAGATGTAGAAGCTCATGCCTGTGGACCTTTCTCTTCAATACCTACGATGAGAGAGGTACTCAACAAGAGAGGCACCCAGCTCCCTCAGGGTCTGCAGTACCTCGGAGGCATACACACTGAGCTTTCATCCCCCAGGTCGGCGATGTTTAGGATGATGAGGGTGGTCTGAGTCCACGGGCACCAGGACAGCCCCAGGCAGGCCGGAAGCCAGGTGTAACCCTGGGCAGAGGGATGCCACTCACCTTTCCTCTGGGCTGGGTGCCCCCAGGCATTATTTATATGACTCCACACACCTAACGACCACCCTTTCTCCCTTTTCCTACCCAAATCTTGTACATTCTTCCCAGCCCCCTTTCCTCCATGAAACAGTCTCTGAACATATTATTCCTCACGGATGATCACCTTCTTAAGTCCATCCAGATGTGTGCCTCTGTCTCACTATTTAGCGCTGTCCTAGAAAATACTGAGTAATGGTTCCATGCGTATACATCGTGTTTCGCCAAGTAGAATCTACCTTGATACAATCAAAAGTGTCACACTGATGGATGAGTAGCAGATGGGTAAATTTCTGATAAAGAGAATTAAATTAAATGTTAATGGTAGAATCTAGTGATGGGTTTACGGGTATTAACTAAACATCTTTCATCTTTTCTGTATGTTTGAATAACTTTCATATAAAAAATAATAAAAACTTAAGTTTATCTTGTATGTAATTACATGTTGACTTAACAAACTCTAATAAAGCATTTACTACCTGTGGGCTCCATACGCTATGTGCATGGCCCCCCAGTAACTAGGGTGATGCTGAGAAAATGTAGTGGGTGCTCTACAAAAAATCACTCATTGTTGGTGCTGGCTGCTCATGTGCCATTGATTTACTCTCTTCTGGGTTTCCACCTTCCTGATTCGCCATCAGGGATGGACAGCATTCACATAGTAGGCTCGGGAAATTCTAGGGGTACAAATACATTGCACTTTACCACCGTCTACCCCTGCCCATCTCTTCTGCCCAACCTGAACAAGAACAAGAACCATCCTCTTATGGCTGTTGGGGTACAAGTACCCATTTGCCTACTGGAATTGCCTTAGGGAAGATATGGTTAAACACAGACTCTGCCACGCAAGTTCTTCTATTGAGGAAAAGTGGAAATGAGGGGAGTGCTACTACACAACCACCCAACCTACACCTCTGTTACAATACTGGCTTTTTGACAAGGAAGCATTCATTCTTTCTGGCAAAACATTGTCCACTCTTAGCAGTTCTTCCATAGATATCAGATCTATATGCCAGTGACAATACATTAAGTCAGTAGCAGTCTGTGAGCACTCGTTCAACCATGTTTTGGGAGTGGCTTCTATGTGTCCATCATTATCCCAAGCAGTTGCCAAGGAGAAGCTACAGAAGCAGATTCGACCAGGCCCTGTCTTTGAATATAGTCTGTGGTCCTATGAGGGAGGCAGGTGAGCGTCAAGACTCTGTGATAACTGTTCCAAGGGAGAGAACCGTTCCAAGCACATAGAGCATGTGGCTTGCTAAGCTCGTCTTGGGGTAATCGCATTGTTTGCCTTCTTTCCTTTGAGGACTCAAGTGTGAAGCTTGCACACCTGGAATGGGAGGGGACAGGGATTCTCATAAGAACCTTTATGCCATTTTCATATAGCAGTTAACAGACTGACAAGAATTTCAAAATAGCATCAGACGAGGAGATGAGCATAGGGGTCCTTAGAAATATTTGCTTGTTTTATGGTCAGAGGCCTGCAGGAAGCAGCTAATAACTGATCTTTTCCCATAGCCCCTAATGTCCTCTCCATTTCAATCATGGACCAGAGTATTGTGTGACATTTCCCATATTATTGATGTGAGTTGTTATTTCTTTCTTTTATTGCCAAATAACTGTTTATACCTTGGGCTAGAATTTAAGATACCAGAAGACAAGATTGTGCCTTGTTCCCCAGCCTCCACTGGCACTAGCACAGTGCCTGACTCACAGAAGGCACTCAATCAATGCATTGATTAATTAAGTCCTTCTTCTGCTGAGGGCCCATCATGCTTTGGCTGTCCCAGAGAGCTAACAGCTATCCCTGGGCCCACCCTAGGCACAATGGCATGCAGACGAACGAGACTCCTTCGTCTGCCTTCCCTCTGCGAGCAGCATCAAGGACCCTGAGAGGCAAACTCAATGTGAATTTTAAAAACACGTTCTGTGGTGGTTGCAGAGCAAATCGGCCTGCAAGAAAAGGATTTTTTTCCCTCTTTCTTCAGCGCCACTGGAGCGGCTCCTTCCATTGAAAATACAGGGATTTGTGCTGCATGATTGTGCAGGGAGTGGGGGCCGAGTCCATGCCAGTCATCAAGGGCTCAGCATGCTCAGAAGGGCTTTGTGCTCCAGGCACTCCAGCAGCCTGGCTTGGCCCTAGCACACCCCTCTTCCTGCAGAGGCCACAGAACAACCATTTCAGCAAGTGACTTTTCAATAATGGCTCTGTGTGCCCAAAAAGGAAATCAATGTGATGGTTAGAAAAGTTTCTTTCTTTCTCCAACTCCTGTGCTCTCCCCAAAATATCAGAGTAAGGTTTGTTATCTGGGCAAAGAAACAAGCACAAGATTTTCTTTTACGTTGGGTGAGGAGCTAAAGGACTAAACATTTTTGAACACCTGTGATGTGCTAGAGACTGTCTCACATACTGTCCTATTAAATATTACCAGGAGATCTTTGGCAAGGTATTACTCCCATCTTAAAGACGAGGGGACCAAGATTCAGGGATGCTTCACAAGCTAATAATTAAAACTTAATTCTAAAGTGTGTGTGGGGTGTGTGTGTGTGTATGAGTGTGTGTGTGCACGTGCATGTATGTGCGTGTGCGTGTATGTGCGTGCATGTGTGTATGTGTGTCTGATGTCTTAGTGTTCATATCCATGAGCATCAGGAGAGCTTCCACTTTACCCATGTTTCAAACTCTAGAGAGGCTGCTCCCCCTGCTGAGTAGCCTGGTCGTGGCCAGGGCTGGGTGATGGCTGTTTGGATGCTCTCAGAAATGTGGTAAGCCGTTCACTTATTATTCAGGGAAACATCCGGCAAAGTGATAGCTTCTTTCCTTGCTATCAGTATCTACTGCCAGCTGTTCACTTGGATTGAAGGATATGAGGGACTGAATGCTGAATTCACACATGCAGCTAACCGCCCTCCTCCAGACCCCAGAGGAGCCATTAGGATGAGTGTTTATGGAGCGGCACTACCTGGAAATGCCAAGGCCCAGTGGGGAATGAGAGGTGAGCAGAGAAATACGCGTGTCCCTGGATCCCTCCCTGGGTGGGGAAGACTGTGTGGTGGGACAGAGGCCTTCAAATATATGAGAAAACACAGCAAATACATGTCCAGTTCTTAGATATCATTGGCTTTTGTTGCTGGACAAAACCTGCAGTTTGTGTTTCAATGTCTGCGTGACTGCTGTAGCCTTTTCTCCCCTTGTTCTGAGCTTTCTTTCCTCCTGCAGCATCTATCTCCCCAATTGTATTTCCTGGCAGATCGACCATGCATGTAGAACCTGCCTTATTTCACAGGAAGCATAAAACAATCCTGTAGCCACGACTCCTGCCCCCATTTCATGGAAGGGATGCTCTGAGGCCACCTCAATAACATGGGCAGGTGAGGATTTGAAGCCAGAAATTCTGATTTTCCAATCCTGGACTATAGTCATTGGGCCAAGCAGCTACTTTGCTTTTCCTGATTGAGTTAGGGCTGGGCACGGAAGCCATTTAAGCAGAGGGCCCAGGCCCCCCATTTCAGTGATGGAGACATCTACTCCATTCTCTCCTGGGCCGGTGTGACAGACACAGAGAAAGGCATTTATCAAGACTGCGCAGCAGCACCCTTTCCCAGTTCCTTAAATGTCAGGGTGTAAATCACGCTCGAAGCTTACTAGGAACATGTGGGTGTGAGCGAATCAGACAAGGATAATGTGTTTCTAATCCAATGGCTTTCACAAAGTATGATTTACATTTGCAGACGGTTTTGCAGTGGTTTTCCTGGGTTTTTATTTAGCTTGCCATTCCCACTTCTGCTACGAGTTTTATTACCTTTGGTCATGGGGGAGTCTAGAAGAGTCACTTATTCAAGAAAATGTATAAGAACAAGAACAACAGCAACAACAATAAAAATTATTTAAATATTTTTTTCAGTCTCACATCTCAGCAAGGCAGAGCTGTGTTTTATTAAACTTAAACAAAAATAAGCCTGCACCTTTATTGGTGACATTTAGTTCCAATACTAGATCTCCTGGTAGTCACAACTTCTATATTCAACAACAAAACAATGAAAAAGTCAACTTAAAAATGAGGAAAGGACTTGAAGAGACATTTCACAAGAAAAGATACATACAAGGCCATAAATACATGAAAATAACATTCAACATCACTGATCGTGACAGAAATGCAAATCAAAACCACAATGAGATACTGCTTCACACCCATTAGAACATCTGTTACGTAAAAGGGAAAATAGAAAACAGGGCTACTGAGGATGTGGAGAAACTAGAACCCTTGTGCACTGTTGGTGAGAATGTACAATGGTGCAGTTGCGGTGGAAAACAGCTTAGCAGTTCCTCAGATAAATTAAACGTCAAGTTATCATTTGACCCTGCTCTTCCACCTCTGGGTATACACCTAAAGGAACAGAAAGCATAGACTTGAAGAGATACGTGTAGACTAGCGCTTATAGCAGCATTACTCACAGTAGCCCGAAAGTGGAAACAACGCAGTGTCCATGACAGAGGAGTGGATGATCAGTGCGATGTGTGCACACACCAGAAGAGTATTCAGCCACAAAAAGGAGTAGGGTTCTGATACCTGCTACAACATAGATATATCTTGAAAACCTTATGCTAAATGAAACAAGCCAGCTAAAAATGACAAACGAATGATTTCACTCCCATAAAATACCTAGAATAGGCAAATTCAGAGAAACAGAAAGTTAACAGGAGCTGGAGGAGTGGGGTGGAGAATGGAGAGTTCGTGTTTAATGGGGACATATTTTCTGTTTGGGATGATTTTTTTAAAATTCTGGACATGGATGGTTGTAACAGTTTTGTAACACTCTGAATGTAGTTAATGCCAGTAGATTGTATGTTTAAAATGGTTAAAGTGGTAAATTTGATGTTATGTATATTTTACTACAATAAATGAAAATCACCACAAACACCACTACTCCAAAAACCAAACAACCTATATACATGAAGGCAGCGGATCTTGCAGGCTGACTGTGACCTTTCCTTTCTCCCCAGCAAACGCCCTGGAGGAATCCCTGCACGTGAAATGCAGGAGCCGTCAGACTCCACACTTCTGCGCATGCCGTTCCTTCTGTCTGGAACGCCGTTCCCTACCTTGCCCTCCAAAATATCAGCTTATTGCAGAAGCTTCAGTTAATTCCCCTCCTATCAGAAGACTTAATGTTCCCATACTTGTTTGCTTAAAGCATTTCACACGTATCTTATGAAAACCCTCTATCTCGATGTTTTACTCACTTTGTATCCCCAGCTCAGAGTAACACTCCTAACTCATAGTAGAAACTCAATAAATATTTAATTACTCAGGTTGGCTTATGTTTAGTTTTATTTTAGTTCTATGCCAAGGGAACAGGCAGTCTTAACAGCTGAGAGAAAGCTGTTACAATTGCAATAGTGAAAGAGAAACATCAAGAAAGATAAAAGAAAGTGTTTCCTTCCCTCCTTCAGTTCCACTTCACTACCCTTTGCCATGGCATCTAACACATGTGGGGTTAAATCCTGATTCTGGGAAGGGCAGGGCAGCTCATGCCTGTAATCCCAGCACTTCAGGAGGCTGAGGCGGGACGATCACTTGAGCCCAGAAGTTTAAGACCTGCCTGGGCAACAAAGTGAAACCCTGTCTCTATCCCCACTCCACCCCCCCCCAAAAATAGAGCATGATGGCATGAACCTGTAGTCCCAGCCACTTCTCAGGAGGCTGAGGGAGGAGGATCACTTGAGCTCAGGAGATCAAGGCAGCAGTGAGCCATAATCACACCATTGCATCTAACCTTGGCAACAAAGCGAGATCCTGTCTAAAAGAATTAAACATTCTGGCTCTGGTCTGGCAGTGGAGCCTTGGTCTTGTCACTCGGCTTTGCTGAAGCCTCAGCTTTCTCATCTATGAAGCGGAAATAACAGGTTCCTGTTAAATGGTGGCCAGAGAAGCTGTTGCTCATGGCAGGCACTGAGTGTGTGCTGAGAGATCTATTGCAGAGGTCGTCATCATCACTTTGTTCACTGGTTCCCCACCTCCCACTACGGTTCTCCCTTCTCTCTCACCCCTAGCAAGGTGTAGTTTAGATTTCTTCCTTAACTGCCTCCATATTTTTTTTCTCTGATAAGCTATTCTATGGGCAACACAGTCTTGATTTTTTCTAGTCTAATCGTTCACTCTTTCATTTGTTCTCTTTAGCATTTGGGAGGGGAGGGAGTTAGGGTCAGGGTGAGGTTAAGGGGTCGTTGGCCCTCCAGCACAGCTGTTCTAAGGTCACCATTTGCTGCTTAAATCCCTTTCTTGGCTGCATCAAAGGGTAAATGCCCCACATGAGCTGAGGCTGGCAGGACCTCTGGTGCCTTGGCATGTAGTTGGAGTCCTTTAAGCTTCTATTCTTGGGTGAATCATAGGGCTTTTGTTCACAGTTCCAGCCCTCCCTATAGTGGGGAAAATGTTTTCCCTTCCCTCCTTTTTCCCACCCTCCTTTCTCTTTCATACGCTTTCAAGTCCCCCAGTAAAAGAACTGGTCAGTCTTTTTTTTCTCTCTCTTGAGAAAGGCACTCAACTTTACTAGATGACTTTCACAGTAAATTCATTCTTTCCTTTTTCTTTTTGCCCGTGAGTTCTCATATGCTCAATCTTCTCGTGGGGTAGAAAGTAGATTTAAAAAGGATATAAAGCATCCACCACACTAGTCTAGGTATATCTCAAACCCTCCTAGAATTTCTTTCATTCATGCACTCAGCAAGTGTTCATTAAATACCTACTAAGCACCATGCTCTATGCCAGTCACTGGAGGGTTTCAGATAAAGGGGACATTGTCCTTGCCTTAAAGTGCCTGGTAAACATGTAATTGCAAAGTGATTTTCTATCTGATGTGTGGAAGGATTTCAAGATATAGAGGTAGCCCCAAGTAATTCACCTTCCTCAGATGCATCCAGTGGGGAGGGATGATAGCACTAGAATTAACAAATACACAGTCTGCTTCTTTCTAGAAGGCACTTGTACACTCCTCAAACAAACTCTATAATAGTGTGTGAGGTGGAGAGGTGGAGTCCTTAGATTATAGGTTGGGGGAGAGGGAGGGTGGCTGAGGAGGTTGACAGAATAGGATAAGAAACTTCATTCCCTCCAAGGGTAGATTATTCATGGCATTGCAAAACAGTAATGATTATGCCTATTTGCAAAAAATATCAAGTCCATTAGGTACAGGGGAGGTATTTAAGGGTAGGTGGGCAGTCACTCCAGGCCCAGGCTTTTCAGTCTTTCTTTTGATTTTTCTCTTAATCACTTCCTAGAGGATTTATAATTCTTATATAAATATCCATGCCGTGAAACCAACACATGCATCGAGCAGCCTTGATTTCAGTTGGTGCGTGTTAAAGTCTCTGGAGTCTCCCATGCTGTAGAAACCCACATTTTCCCTGGAGAGCCTTGACACTCTTATGGCCCTTCTTGGTTTCCTTGGGCACTGATGAGCCTCTCTGCATTTCCCCATCCTATTTACCCTCTAAGAATTGTTTTTGTTCCCCATCATCAGAAAGGAGCAAGGTTGAGAGCCTAATTTTTCCCTCAAGGTTCAAAGTTGAGTCTTGTGTGTACAAGTGCAAGCATCTACATATGTTTACAACAACGTAAGGGTTCCACTCACTCAGAGAAATTGTATCAATTATTTAAGAGTCTATCTTTTACATGATTGTCCTCTGGATTTACTAAGAGCTTCATAAATACCTTTTCTATCTGGGGATCAGCCCTTATGGGCAACTGGGTGGGTAAACTGTGGCAGGACGTCAAATTGTGCCATTAGCCACAGCCTGGATTCTGCTCACTGACCTGTCCAAAACATCGGTTTAGCAGAAACTGCATGACAGCTTCTCTAAAGAGGAAAACAACAGCCTAGGAGGTGACTAATTTCAGTGTTTCTTCTGGCTTGAAGTGTGCTGAAGCAATACTCAGTTCCATCGCCATCTGTATTTACTGAGCACTCATGACATCTAGGCACTGGGCTAGGCACTGCGGGGAATACCAAGGAAATAGAATGCAGTCTATTGGGAAATACAAAACACACACACTAAACAGTTAGAACCAACAAAAGATGAAATCAAATCAAATCAAATGTCTAAACATCAAGTGTGCTATGAGAGGTCAGGGAAGAGGAGATCCACATAAGCTATAGTCATAGGCTGTTAGATGTAGAAGAGACTTCTGGGATCAAGCACTCATTCATCCATTTATTTAGCATGCATTTATTAAATATTTACTGAATGCTTACTCTGTACTGGGATCTGTGGAAGGTGGTAGATAAAAAGAATGAACTCAATTATTTAGAGGAGATTACTCAAGTTAGCAGCAGAACTGGAAACAGAATCCGTGCCTTAACACAACATTCATTCAACAAATACAGAAAAAGAAGTCATCATGGGTACCAGGATAGATGCAGGAAGACGGTATTGCATATTGGTGAAGCATCTGTGGCACTGAGCAGCTGCGCGAACCCGTGAAAGTTCCTTAACATCCCCTAGCTTCTATTTCCTTAATTATAAAATGCAGATAAGAACACCTCCCTCATAGAACAGATGTGAGCATTAAGGGAACTAAACATGTAAAGGGCACAGCACAATTTCAGACACAAAGTAAGCGCTTAATAAATGCCAGTTATTTTTATTACAGAGCGATCTCAATGGATCAAACACGGTGCCAATCCTTAAGAAACTTACATGAATTCTCTTGAAGAGGGAAGGCATATTCTCAGACCAAGGTGTCTCCCTGATAACAGAACTTTGGGAAAGATTTTAAGAAGTTAAATAAAAACAGACAAAATGAAAACAAGCATAAAGATAGAGAGGTGAAAGTTACACCTTATCTGCAATGCTTGAGACCAGAAGTGTTCCAGGTTTTAGATTTTTAAAAAAATTTTTGGAACATTTGCATTATACCAGTTGAGCATTTCTCATCTGAAAACCTGAAGGGCCCCAATGAGCATTTCCTTTGAGCCTTCTGTTGATGCTCAAAACATTTCAGATTTTGGAACTTTTCAGATTTCAGATTTTTAGATTAGGGATACTCAACTAGCACTTGATCAATGGGCTGAACATTCTCAATAGTTATTTGATTTATCACTTTCCAAATCTACCAAAGAGTCAGATTGTTAAATCCTGGAAAGGAAAACATTCAGAGCCCATCTAGTCCATACCCCTGCCTCTCATCTATGAATATACTAAGAACACTAATTAAAAGTCCTGTGTATTTGAGTGCATGCTCCCACAACGTTGTAAGCATCATGATCTATGGTCGCTTGGCTCTGAAGAACTCTGGGATGTTAGAAATAGCAGGAAAGAAAGAAATTACATAAGATGGCTTTTTCCAAGGATGGGTCTTGGGAAGCAAATTCAATAATGAGGCTTCTTCCTCCTTCTCTATCCCCAACTAAGGCAGAACAGAGTTCAACGGCCTATATCCAGGAAATAGAGCAAATCTTAGTGTAACCCATCCAGGTAAGAGTACGCCAGGGAACTAATTTGGGAAATGGAAGAGGCATGATGATAAGAATATCCAGGTGGTGGTCATGTGCAGTGAATGCAGAAGAGAATTGTGATCACAGATGTCACTAAGCTGTTGGTTATAGAACTAGAGATGAAGTAAGGGGAGAAGGGTCCAGAATAAAAAATCCAGCCCCCAGGGGTGGGGGAATAAAAACTGTTTCATAGGGAATGAGGGCATCAGCCAAACAGGCTAGGGTTCAGAATAAGGAGACCCAAGGGCATGAGGACAGAAGCCTATCCATTTAGAACCAGCACATACAATGAGAATAGCTGGTCAGCTCTGGGAGACCAGGGGGGTTACACATAGGTACATCAGCCACAGTGTGGGCAGAGTTCCTCCAGATTTGATGCACTGGCTGGGTGAGACTTGTAAGAGGTTGCCAGGCTGACTTGTCATTACTCGGGACTAGATAGGACTGAAACCACCAGCTGAACTGCTCCTGGCCACAACATGGAGGACAGTATGAGAAGCAATTTGCACAAGGGAATACCTTGAGGTCTCCCTCATGATACTTCAAAATTTGAAATGTCTTTCCATTTGTGCATGGAGAGAAGTATAATTTTTTTTGTCACTTTGGCAGCAGTCTTTTGTGACCACACCCATGCATAAGACATAACTGTTACCTCTGCCCTAGCCCCTGATTCAAATCAAATGCTGACGCTTGTTAATATTTCTCTAAATGCCACTGTGGTGGAGATGACCCTCCCTCACATTCCTTCCTGTTCCCAACCTGCCCCCAATATACTATTGTTTTTAAGCAGCTCACCTGTTAATTAAAAAGTAGGA